TGAGAGAGAGAGAGAGACAGACACTGGGAATCAAGAGGGGCCAGGATGATGCAGGAGGCCTTCCAGCAAGAGATGGCAGTGGGAGGGAGACAAGGAGGCTGAGTTGGAAGTCTGAGGAAGGAGATTGGCAGGACTTGGTGGTTGATGGCAGGAGAGAGGCCAAGGAGTCCAGTCATAGTTCTTGAGGGCAGCTTTAAAGAATGGGCTGCCCGGGGCGCCTGGGTGGCTCGGTTGGTTAAGCGTCTGCCTTTGGCTCAGATCATGATCCCAGGGTCCTGGGATCGAGCCCCACAGAGGGCTCCCCGCTCAGCAAGGAGTCTGTTTCTCCCTCCCCCTCTCCCTCTGTGTGCTCTCTCTCTCTCTCTCTCTCTCTGTCTCTCTCAAATAAATAAATCTTAAAAAAGAATGGGCTGCTCTTCAGGTCTCTGAAAACACAGAGGAATGGCACAAGGACTAGGAGCCACCTAGCCACAAGGTAAACTAGTTTATCACTCACTTTACAGATGCGGAAAATACAACTTAGAGTAGGGAAAGTGACTTACATAGGGTCACACAGCCACTAACTTGCCCGTGCTATTTCTACTGCCCCTCACCCAACTCCCACTGCCCAGACTGGGCAAAGGGGCTCTGGGTCTACAGCTGCTGTAGATCGGCCTCTGGGAAATCCCTTAGCCCAAATGGCAAGCCTCAAGGTCAGAAGAGGTTGTCTCGGCCAACATGCTACCAGCTGGGGGCATCACTCTGAAAGAGCCAAGCCTCCAGGCCAGGCTGGTGTCCACAAGATGCCTTTCCCTATGGGGGCAGGGCACCTAATCAGGACTAGTGACTTTGGTTCCAGACAGACCAAGCCAGCACACAGGGCTCTTTCCCTCCATGCCATCCTCCCCTGACACTTCATCCTGGAAAATTTCACAGGCATAGCAAAGTTGAAAGACTGAACATTGAACATACCTACCACATACCTACCACCTAGACTGTACCATTAATGTTGTACTATACTTTTGTGATCACAAATTATCCATTCCTCAATCCATCTTATTTTTAAAATATATTTCAAAGTGAAGTACAGACATCACTGCATTTCCTACTAAACATCTCAGCATGTATATCATTAACCAGAGTTCAGTACTTATATTTTTCTTATATGAAATTTACATACAGTGAAAAACACAACTCAATGTATACATTTTCCGAAGCTGCCCTTCATTCAGCAGCATATTTTTTGAGGTTCATTGATACTGTTGCAAATAACAATAGTACATTGCTTTCTTTAATTTTCTTTTTTTTAAAGTGGGCTCCACGCCCATTGTGGAGCCGAGTGCAGGGCTTGAACTCACAACCCTGAGATCCAGACCTGAGCTGATATCAAGAGTCAGATGTTTAATCGACTGAGCCACCCAGGCACCCCAGTACACTGCTTTTTTAAAATAAACTTTTTTTTTTTTAAGATTTTATTTATTTGAGAGAGAGCACAAGCAGGGGGAGAGGGAGAAGCAGGCTCCGCACCGAGCAGGAAGCCTGACACAGGACTTGATCCCAGGACCCCAGGATCATGACCTGAGCCAAAGGCAGACGCTTAACTGATTGAGCCACCAGGTGGCCCTTAAATAAACTTATAAATTTCAGAATAACTTTAGATACAGAAAGTTCCCATATGCCCCACACCCAGGATCCGAGCCAGGAGACCACATTAATGTGTTCTGTCTCTCCCATGTCCTCTGCCCACTTTCTCACTCTGTCCCAATTTCTCATGACCTAGACAGTCTTGAGGAGCACTGGCCAGGTCTCCTGTAGAGTGTCCCCACTTTGGGTTTATCTGATGCTTTTCTCATCATAAGACGGGTTTGGATTTTTGGAATGCTCAGGTACCATGCCCAGTACATGGTAGCCACCTGATCTCATACTGATGTTACCCTTCATCATTTGTTCAAGACAGTGTTTGGGGCTTCTCCAGTGTAGAATTACTCTTTTCTCTTTCCCTGCAGTGTTCTTTGGAAGTGAGTTACTGCATCTGGCCTGCCGGCAGGCAGGGGACAGAAAGGCAGGCAGGAATTAAGCTCCACCTCCTGGAGGAGGGAATGTCTACATATGTTATTGGAATTTTTCTGTAAGGATTCCAAAAGGAATTCTCCCTCATTTATTTATTTGGTCATTTATTGGCTGGTTTTTTAAATTGATATTTTAATCAATGTAATACAAATACATATTTTACAATGTTAAAGATTATAAGGAAATAGAATAGCTCCCTATGGCCTGAGAGTTATTTGCTCTGGTTCTTCTAAATACCATGCGTACTCTGCTATTTGTATTTCTTGACTTTTTTTTCCATTTTATATTAGATTGAACTATATAAAGTTTCCAGTATTCAACCATTTTTGATCTGCAGAAATGGCTATTTCATATGGTTCAACCTAATACCTAGTATTTTGACTTTCTAATCCTTGTACAGCTGATTGTGACACTGGAGTTGGTTCCTTTTGTTTCATTGTGAATTGTGATTTTGTATTTGATCCTCATTGGACCTGGTTCGGGGGTCAACCCCCACCTGCTCAGCCATAGCTCCAGGCTCTCCATCCCCAGACCGGGCACCTTGGGCCTGGGTGAGAAAGGGGCTGCAGGATGTGAGGTCAGCCTTTGCTGTGGTACCTGCCCCCCACCGGCAGCTGTGGGGCAAGGCCTCCGGGGCTCCCTGGGCTGTCTGCTCTGCTGATACCCTCAGCTGCAAGTTCTCTGCCCTGTGGCAGACTGGACCCCAGGTGCGTCGCCTTGCAGGTCATGGCCACTAGGCCAGCTCTCCTGGTGTAGCCTTAGGCCAACTACTGAACCCTTTGTGCCTCAGTTTCCTCATCTATAGGATGGAGACCATCAGCCTTCCAGATGGGCTCCTCTGGTCATAAAATGGCAGGACTTTGTCCTGAGGCCAGCCATGGTGTTGGTCCTCAGTTCTTCCTTCAGGCCCCTCCATGTTCTTCCTGCCCACGGTATGAGGCTGCCCAGGACAGAAGTCTCCGTGGGTCAGAGGCCAAGATCCCAGATTCAGCTCAACCTCTGACCTGCTCTACAGACCCTAGCCAGGTGTTCCCCCTCCTCTGGGCTTCCATCTTCTCATCTGTGCCAACAGGTGGTTGGTGCTGATGGTCTAAGAGACCTCTGAGTGGCTGAGACCTGGGGTTGTGAACCCCTCTGCCCTCCTCCTGCCCCAGGCCCTGGGGGTCTTGGAATATAATGGGATTGTAAAACGTATCAAGTCCTTGTTCCTCTCTGGGCCTCTGCGAGGGGGATGGTAGCCTGAGCTTCTAGGGCCCTTTTAATTCTGTGGCCCATACAGGAAAGGCAGACTGAGCTGGGCATGGATACCAGGGTGGCAGAACCCTGTGGGGACCTTCCCAGTCCAGGGGAGGAGCCACGCCATCAGGCAGTCACACAGATGAAAGAAAAACTAATCTGGATGAATTTGTGTTAAGAAATAGAGGTTAATGGGGGCCATGACCCAATCTGGGGGGTATGGGAGGGCTTCTCTAAGGAATCAGGATCCTTCCTGAGACCTGAAGGGTAAGGAGGTGTTGACTGGATGAAAGGGAAGGGAACATTCCAGGCAGAGGGAACAGCAGAGATCCTGCAGCAGAGGGAGAGGCCAGTGTCGCTGGAGCTGAGTGAGGTGGAGCAGGAGAGAGGGTGAGGGACCAGGCGCGAGGCCTCAGAGCCCCAAAGGAGCTGGTTCTTCACCTTAAGAGCCCTCGGAAGCCTTTAGAGGACCTTTCAGCTGGGAAGTAACAGGACGAGATTTTGTCCTGAAAAGCAACCTCTGGCTGCTAGGGAGAATGGACTGGACGTGGCGAGGGTTACAAGGGTGGGAGGCTTGGGACCAAGGAGCCCAAAGAGGAGACTGCTGTTGTTTAGATGACAGTGGCTTTGTCCAGGGTGGTAGCTCTAAGGACAAGTAGAAACGGATGGATCTGAGAGTGTCTGGGAGATAGAACTGCCAGGACTTAGCAGCCTTGTGTCCGGCAGGTGAAGTGTCAGGTGATTCTGTGGCCTCAGCACCTGGAAGGAAGATGGGGGGTGTGGTATGGGCTCCCAGGGAGCAGCAGCTTTGGCAGGGGCTCAGCTGTACCATGGAGGAGCCTCGTGGGCACCCAAGCAGTGAGGCGGAGGGGCCTCTGGGTGCAGACGTACCATTCTGGAGTTCAGAGGCCGGAGCTTGGGCGGGTGGCACAAACCCACAGGGGTGGGATGGGATGGGGCAGTACAGGCAACTTCTGAAGTGCAAGACCTTGCAGGGTCTCCCCAAAACCTGCCTAGCCCCTCAGCAACCCAAGGTTCTGGGGGAGGTTCCTCAGCGCTGCTGACAGCTCCTCTCTCCCTGCAGATCCTGCTCATCTCGGATTACTTCTATGCCTTCCTGCGGCGCGAGTACTACCTCACCCATGGGCTCTACTTGACTGCCAAGGACGGCACAGAGGCCATGCTCGTGCTCAAGTAGGCCTGGCTGGGCCCAGGGCTGCATGGACTTCAGGGGTGGAAGGGCCCGGAGCTGAGCCCAGCCCTCGAGCCGGAGTTGCCAGCAGAGGAGTCCTCAGGCAAATGAGGTTTGAGTCCAGGGTTCCAAAGCTCTGGCACCAGAGGGGAACCAGGGCTGGCAGCAAGGCCGGTGGGGAGTAGCCAGGAGCACCTCCCCTTGGACCCTACTCTTTTGACTCTGCAGACCAGGGAGCCCCCTCCGATGCTGGATAGGGTAAGAAGCAGGGGAGCAGGATTTGTTAGGTTGTGGCTACTTAATAAATGTTTTTTGTTATGAAATCTATCCTGGGCTTACACTGAACTCCTGGAAAGGGTGGACTTGTCCTTGAACACCACTTCCATATACTACACACTGGTGTGGGTTTCCAGAATGAGCCCCAGGTCCACAGCACACAAGTCTGTTCCCTGACGAGCTGAGACTAGTGTGAGACAGCCCCACTGGCAGCCCTCCCCACACCCCAAGCAGCTGGAGGCAAAGGGCCAGGCAGGCCTGAGCAATCTTTATTCTGCAGAGGGACAATGACCACAGATCCATACACCATGTCAAGACCAGGTGAGCCAGGGGCCAGTCCTTCAGGGGTGGGCAGGTCCGGGGGGGGGGCAGCGCCTCAGGTGAGGGAGGGGCAGATGGGCAGGGGCCTAAAAAAAAGACAAATCACACCGAGCAGGGGTGCTGGGGGCTGTTCCCTACCCTCCCCCATCCCAGCCAGCACCCAGGGCAACCCTAACAATGGCCCAGGATCCACCCAGGGGCAGTGTAGGTGTGGTTGGTGCCCCCTGGCTAGGGGGGGGCAGCATCCCTGCCTAGCTCATCTCGGGCAGAGGCAGTTCAGTTCAGGAGCCAGGAGCTCCCTGGGCAGAGCCTGACAGGGCCCTCCCCCTCCCCCACGCCCAGGCCAAACACCACCCCCCTACTGCTGGCTCAGAAGCCGAAGGTTTCCTGGGAGGCGTAGACCATGTAGAGGAAGCCATCGTCGTCCTTCTCCTGCTCATAGATGTCCGCAATGGGTGTGGACACGCTCACCATGCTGTGCTGGTTCACCAGCAGGAAGAAGGCCTGCGTGGGGTTCAGCTGCAGGCGGCGCCTGGGGTGGGCAGAAGAGCAAGCCTACGGTGAAGGGGCCTGGCTGCTGGGTGGGTGGAGCCCTGACCCCCCCCCACCTCCCTCTCTCCAAAAGGATTCTGAGGCGGCTTCACACCCATCCCAGGCCCTTCTAGAAGCTCTCACCTCTGACCTGACACTGACCCCAGCCCTGACCTTGGCCTTTCCCAACCTCCCCAAAACAGGGCCCCACCATCCCCAAAAGGACCCCAGCCCCCTATGACTGCTGCTGCCCACACACCGGATGATCTTGACCAACTCGCTCATGTTGACATGGTCTGGGACCAGGAACTTGGTCTTGTCCAGAACCGGCAGCTGCTTCTCACCCTTGTAGCGCTCGATGATCACCTAGGGGTGGGGCGAGGGATGCGTGAGCCGGGAGGGGCCTGGGGCCGCGGGGAAGGGAGGGGGCGGCGGGACTCACCGGGATCTTGCTAGGGTGCTGGTCGCGGATCTGCTGCACCTCCTTACAGCGGTCGGCTGCGGACAGTGGGCGGGCAGTGAGGCCGAGAGAGGTCCCGCTCGCCGTTCGCCCCGCCTGTCCCCGGCCCCGCCCCCCCGAGCCCCCGCCCCCAGGGCCGTCAGGCCCCAGGGCCTGGCACCCGCCGGGCTCCGAGGCGAGGCCCCGGCCCAGGCCTGAACCTGCCTCCCGGCCCGGGGGTCTAGCCCGACTCTGACGTCACGGGGCTGACGTCGCCTGCGGCAGTCTGGGTCAGTCGCGGCGCCCCCACCCCGCGCCAGCCCACCGCCCGCCGGGCCTCACCGAAGGTCCGCCGCTGCTTGAAAGGCCGGTCCGAGGGCATCGCGCGGGCCCGGCGGGGCGCGCAGGCCGGGGCTCCGGGGCGCGCGGCTTGGGGCTCTGTCTGAGGTTCGGGGGCTCCGCGCCTCGCGCTCAAGGGCTCCGGGGCTGTGAGCTGAGCCTGGCGGCGGTGGCTCGGGGAGGTAACTCGCCCGGGTGACGTCAGGTCACAACATTCCTTAAAGGGGAGGCCGGCGCGCCGCTCCCATTGGGCCGACGCAAAACCCGCCCGCCCGGACCCGTGACGTCACGGCGCAGAGAGCTGGACTCCGGGCCAGCGCCGCGAAGGGGCGGGGCTCCCCGGCGCGTCACAGTCCTGTGACGTCATGGGCTGCCGGCCCCTCTCCCCGAGGCCGGGGCTGAGAGACTGGCGGGGCTGCGGGCAGTTGGGCTGGCTGACCCGCTACGCGCGGGCCAGTCTGGGGTTTAGCGGCTCTCTGTTCCCACTGGTGCTAAGTCATCCCACGGCACACTCTGTTCCGTTCCAGAGATGGTGCGAGGCACTGGGGTGACAACAGCGAACCTAAAGACCGCCTCACCTTCGTGGAGCTCATGGTTACAGGAAAAAAAGCTAGGGTGGGGTGGAGGGGATTAAAACACGAAAGAGCAAGATGCTAAAAAGAATCACACAGGTTTTAAAAGGAATTTCTAGAATTAGAAACACCACTGAAATTCAGGTCTAAAAGGATGAGAGCAGAAAGTAGATTAGACGCAGCAGAAGGTAAGTCACTGAGCTGGAGGAGAGAGCCCAAGCTACTGACCAGAGAAACAAGGTGATGGACAATGTAAAAGGGGAAGGGACAGGTCCGTTAGAATTCCAGGAGGAGAGAAAAGAAGTGGGAGAGGCAGTTCCTGAAGAAGAGCTTCCAAACTTGACTAAAGACCAGGAACCTCACATAAAATCCAGAGCAGGATAAACAAAAGTAGCATCTTGGCACTTTGTAATGAATTTGCAGAACTCTAAAAAGATAGGAAAATGCTAAACTCGACCAGTAAACATGGAAGTAGGTCTAAAACACCGTGGAACATGAACATGATCAATTTGTGGAGTACAAAACGAGAGGACACAGCAACATGTCAGGCGGAAGTGGGTAATCAGTTCAAGTGCTCTTAGTTAAGGGGAGGAGGATAAAGATACTGGTAATTGTCCAGCTTTGTATATCCAAGTGTGTGTTTCAGATACTTATGAGGGATCATTAAAAGAATGGAAGGTGTAGGGGCGTCTGGGTGGCTCAGTTGGTTAAACGTCTGCCCAGGGTCCTAGGATCGAGCCCCGCGTGGGGCTCCCTGCTCGGCAGGGAGTCTGCTTCTCCCTCTCCTTCTGCCTGGCGCTGCCCCTGCTTGTGTGATCTCTCTCTGTTGGATGAATAAATAAAATATTTTTTAAAAAATGGAAAGTGTAACTGCCAATGCAGAAAAGGAGAAAAGGGTAGTAAAAAAGAATGGTATAGGATACAAAACCAGAGGTAAAAAAAGGTTTTACATTCACCTATTTAAACAGATGATCAAACTGGCCAAGGAAAATAAAATGCAGCTCTACATGGTGTTTACAAGAGGACAGTTAAAATGTAAGTGCACCGGGCGCCTGGGTGGCTCAGTTGGTTAAGCGACTGCCTTTGGCTCAGGTCATGATCCTGGGGTCCTGGGATTGAGTCCCACATTGGGCTTCCCTTGCTCTGCAGGGAGCCTGCTTCTCCCTCTGCCTCTGCCTGCCACTCCCCCTGCTTGTGCTCTGTCAAAGAAATAAAATCTTTAAAATAAGAAAAACGTAAGTGCACCAACAGTAAAATGATGGGAAAAGGTATACAAGAGAAAAGCTAACCAGAAGGTGTATCGATAGCAAAATCAGACAAAATAGGCTTTAAGATAAAAGATATTATTAGAGATAAAGAGGGTGACCACAAAATGATGAAAAGTACAACTTTTAGGAAGACATAACTCTTGTAAAATATACAAGTTAGAAGTTTAAGACTGAAAATGTATAAAACGAAAGTGATAGGATACAAGGAGAAATTGCCAGATCTTTCATCACAGTGAGATTTAAGACCTCTTTCAGTAACTGATTGACCCAACAGCCAAAAAAAAGATATAGAAGATATTAATGAACCCTGATAGGACCGTGAACCCAGAACCCAATATTGTTACTTTTAAGCACACAAGAAACATTTACCAAAAAATGACCTAAAAATAGCCCCAAGATAAATCTCAAAGGTATCAAATATACCATCCATTCCATGGAGACCATATTTCTATGACCACAGACCAGAGCCAAGTAAACTCCAAATGTTTGGACGTTTAAACATCTAAAAAGCTTTTTACTCAAAGATGAAATTCTGTAGAAATGAAAACTAGATCAAAAAAATGAGAATACATATAAAAACTCATGGTAGGGGTAAGGCAACTAAAGCATCATTTGGCAGATCTATAGCTTTATTATAGTAGGTAAGAAATACAGAAAATTTACAAGCAGAGTGTTAAAGAAATTTATTTATTTATTTATTTGAGAGAGAGAGAGCACAAGCAGGGGGAACCGTAGAGGGAGAGGGAGAAGCAGGCTCCCCGCCAAGCAGGGAGCCCGATGCAGGCCCTGGCTCGATCCCAGGACCCTGAGATCATGACCTGAGCCGAAAGCAGACACACAACCATCTGAGCCACCCAGGCGCCCCAAAGAAATTTTTTAAAGATTTATTTATCAGGGGCACCTGGGTGGCTCAGTCAGTTAAGTGTCCAGCTCTTGATTTTGGCTTAGGTCATGATCTTGGGGTCATGGGATGGAGCTCCACACTGGGTGCAGAGTCTGCTTGTGATTCTCTCTCCCTCTGCCCCTCCTCCTGCTTGCACACTCTCAAATAAAATGTAAAAAAATATATATATATGATTCCTTTATTAGAGGGGCACCTGGGTGGCTCAGTTGGTTGAGCAGCTGACTCATGGTTTCAGCTCAGGTCATGATCTCAGGGTCCTGCTATTGAGCCCCATGTTGGGCTCTGCACTCAGCAGGGACTCCGCTGGAGAATCATTTTCTCTACCCCTCTCCCTACCTCCCTCCCCCCCCCCCCCCCCCGCTCATGTGCACACACACACTCTCTCAAATTAGAGAGAGTGTGGGGTGTAGGGACAGAGGGAGAGAGAGAATCTTCAGCAGACTCCCCACTGAGTGCAGAGACTTACTCCGGCTGATCTCAGGACCCCGATCATGACCTGAGCTGAAATCAAGACTGGGATGCTTAACCAACTGAGCCACCTAGGTACCCCTAAAGAATTTTTAAAAGGAGTAATAGTGTCAACCCAAAGAAAGTGGAAAGAAGATAATAATGAAGAGCAGAAATTGAAATAGAAAACAAAAACACTAGGATGGACCACAAAGTGGGATCTTTGAAGAGACCAATAAAATATTAATGTGAAAAATGGACATTAACTATCGTTTCTAGCAGAAATGATAAAAATAAGAATGTTATAGGGGCGCCTGGGTGGCTCAGTCAGTTAAGTGTCTGCCTTCGGCTCCGGTCATGATCCCAGGGTCCTGGATCAAGTCCCACATTGGGCTCCCTGCTCAGCGAGGAGCCTGCTTCTCCCTCTCCCTCTGCCTCCTCTCTGCCTACTTGTGCTCTCTCTGTCAAATAAATAAAATCGTTAAAAAAAATAAGAATGTTATAAACTTTATGCCAGTCAATTTAAAACTTAGATGAAATGGACAATTTTCTAGAAAAAGATAATTTGTCAGGACTAATTAAAAAAGAAATAGATAAATGAGTAGCCATATACCTAAAAAAAATAAATAATCCAGCTGGTTTTCTAGGTGACTTCTCCCCCGCAACCCCAAAAAACCCTGCAGCAAACATCATACTTTATGGTAAAACACCATACTATATGGTAAAATGTAAAGCATTATTCCCTTTAAAGCCAGGAACAAAATTTGGCATTTTGTCATTGAACGCATTGCGACGTTGTATCAAGGTCCCAGCTAGAGCACCAAGCCAAGAAGAAAGAAGGCACAGCCTTCTATCTATCACAGCCAGAAGATGCAGAGGAACCATGGACAATAGAATACTTCTAACTAATATGAACTAATATCATACCACGTTTTAGAGAAAGATGGGAAAAATAGGAACTCTCCACACAGCTGATGGGAGTGTAAATCTTTTCAGCCACACTAAAGAGCAATTTGGCAAAATCTACTGAAACTGAAGATGCCTGTATCCTACAGACCAGGAATTCCACTTGCTGTGTACCATATGGGCTCAAGGGAACACAGTTAAATATGTTTAATTGGAGCATTTTCATAATAGCAAAAAAACTGGGACTACCTAAATGTCCTACTGAATATCTTGGGTATTCCTTTAACAGAGCAAAACACCGTGAGAGAGAAGGGGTCAGCGAACTTTCCCTTGAAAAGGCCAGACGGTAAATATGTTTGGCTTTGCAGGCCATTTGATCCCCAGCAACTACTCAATTCTGTTGGAGTGTGGAAGCAGCCTTGGGGCCCAAATGAACATGGTTGTGTCCCAATAAAACTTTATTTGCTAAAATAGATCTGGCCTGAGGCCTTGGTTCACGGACTCTTGATCTAAAGCTGTGTCAAAATGGACAAATCTCACAAAGTTACAGGACAGTGTGGTCAGAGCTGTTAAGTGCAGCTGAAAGAACTAGGTCAGCCATGGCCTTGGGGAAGTGGTTACACCTCTCTTTTGTCTGACTAAGCCCCGGATTGAGGCTACAGTTGGGGAGGGGCCCATCCCCCAAATCCCAAGGTCTGTGCTCACTCTTCCTCTTCCCTGACCTGTCAGCAGGACTGATACCCCTTCTTCCAGTCCTCTGATTTCTCTCCCCACCGCTTCCTCCTCTCCCCCATCTCCCTCGAATCCAAAGGTCTGGTCTACTCCAGGTCTCTACTGGAACGCCTAGGAGACATCTCAAATTTAGCTTCCCCTAAATGAACCTATGCTCTTCCTCTAAAATGCGCCCCCATTGTAAACCTTCCCTGTCTCCATCCGTCATCTTTGACGCCTTTCTTTCTTTCACTACCCACACATCTGACCCATGCTCAAACCCTGCTGGCCCACATTTCAAAACAGCTCCAGATGGGCGCCTGGGTGGCTCAGTTGGCTGGGCGACTGCCTTCGGCTCAGGTCATGATCCTGGAGTCCTGGGATCGAGTCCCGCATCGGGCTCCCTGCTCAGCGGGGAGTCTGCTTCTCCCTCGGACCCTCCCCCCTCTCATGCTCTCTCTCTCTCTCTC